TAGCTGGTTACTGAGACGGGTAGACCCCCCCAGGCTGCCTAGCTGGTCACTGAGACGGGTAGACCCTGACATAGGACAGTTGTGCTCACTAGGAGCAACCCAAGAGCTAGGAGGGAAACTAGGCTTTGTATCTCACACTCTGCTCTGAGTTATCACCATCCTGCAAAGCTGTCCTCAGCATGGAGAAGGTTAGGAACTTCTTTCCAGGGTTCTGGGGCCACATCAGAAAAACCAGACACGTGTGTTCTGGGGGAGCCCAGTAAGCCTCAGGGTGGCTGCCAGCCCCACGATGAGATCCCAGCCAGGGGCTCCTCTGGGTCTTGGTTGGAAAGGCTGCCGGGCTGGAAGTGTAAGGGAAGAGCCTTGACTCTTGGGTGAACATGGGGCCAAGGGCAGGGGAAGGATAAGATCTCTAGATACAAAGTGTCAGAGCCGCCTCTGACAGCGCCCCAGCACGTCCACGAGCACAATCTCACTTGTCTTGGGAGGAAAGGTAAATATTTGCGCTGTTTCCATTTTACGAGTTGAGCTCAGAGAGCGGTTTGCTCCGGTCAGGATGTGGAGCCTGGCAGTGGCAGGCAGTACCCTGGAACCTGTGGCATGACAGTAGGGGTGACAGGGCTATGTGTCCTGGCAGGAGCCCCATGAGGCTGGCCGGGAAGGTGGAAGGACAGTGGGGCCTTGCAGGGCTGAGCTAGGTGGGCCGTGACCCGGGAGGCCCTGGGGCACCGGCTCAGGAGTGATGAGACCGTAAAGCCGTGCCCTCCCAGTGACTTCTGTAGGTGTGTTCAGTGACATGTTCAGCAGGTGCAGGGAGGATGGGCCTGTGCCAAAGGCCCAGCCCAGAGATGTTTCGGATTTTTCCCTTTATGCCCCTGCAACCAAGCCCTGCTGCTCCAGCCCATAAAAGCTGTGAGGGCCAAGGGCTCTGGCATTCACAACCTGGCCCTTGCTCCGCTTCTTGCTCGCAGCAGCTGCCTCTGCTCTCAGCCATGATCGCCAGACAGCAAAGCGTCCGAGGAGCAGCCCGGGGCTTTAGCGGTGGCTCAGCCATTGCTGGAGGAGTCAAGAGGGTGGCCTTCAGCTCGGCCTCCATGTCTGGGGGTGCAGGCCGCTGCTCCTCGGGGGGCTTCGGCAGCAGGAGCCTCTACAACCTCGGGGGCCACAAGAGCATCTCCATGAGCGTGGCAGGGTCCTGCCAAGGTGGTGGCTATGGGGGTGCCAGAGGCTTCGGCATCGGAGGCTTCGGTGCTGGTGGCTTTGGCGGTGGCTTCGGAGGCTCCTTCAATGGTCGAGGTGGTCCTGGCTTTCCTGTCTGTCCTGCTGGAGGGATTCAGGAGGTCACCATCAACCAGAGCCTGCTGACACCTATCCAGGTGGAGATTGACCCAGAGATCCAGAAAGTCCGCACTGCAGAGCGGGAGCAGATCAAGACCCTCAACAACAAATTTGCTTCCTTCATCGACAAGGCGAGTGAGCCTGACCTGGGCAGAGGCTGAAGTTTCTGAGCTCCGGGTCCCGGGTCCTAGCCAGGAGGGCAGCTTGTGCCTGCTTCTGTCTCTGGGTGAAACCTCTCCTTTCTGAGGCTGCTTGAAGAGCAGAGGAGATGCTCCTTGCTTCTTCTAGGCCAGCTTCCATTTATTAGGCAAGTTCTGGAGCTCTTGCTGTGTAGGTTCCACTGAAGCCATGCATCATGGAGTCTGGTTACTCAGCCATCTATGGCTAGGGGCCAGGGTGGTGACCCAGCTCAGGCTGTTCTGGGCTGCTGTGCACCCAGGTTTTGGTTCCTTTAGGTGTCTGAGTGGGCGCACTGGTCGAGAAGCCTGTAGTAGCTGGTGGAGGCTTTGCTGTGACCACAGAGATCCAGTCTTGAGCACCGGCCTACGAGACTTTGTGCTCCCTTGCTGAGTCTCATTTCACCCCACCTTTTGGGCTCAGGAGTTGGTAGTCTTGTGGAGTGTGCAACGTGGAAACGCTCTGCCAGGCCTCTCCTCTGGCCGGCCTGGCGAGGGGCTTCTGAGAGTGAAGGCTCCAGGAAGCCCTAGTCAGGATGGGCTCCAGCTGTGTCTCAGAACATGTCTGGGCCATGAGCACTCAGCTTTACCTGTGTGCAGACTCAGGAGACAAGGTTGTCCTACACAGCTCATGCTGACTTCAAACTCATTGTCCTCGCCTCAGCCTCCCGAGTGCAGGCTCACACATGCGCCCTGCCACGCTTAGCTGAATGTGAATGTGTGGTTCTTCACTGTGGGTCCTTGAATGCAGACACCTGCCAACTGTGGGTGTGCCTCCTGGTCCCATTGATTTGCTTATTTCACAGATGCTCTGCTCCCTAGCCCTGCACTGGGCCCTTGGTTGGCTGTGGTTCGAAGCTGTTCCTGCTGTACCATCAATCCCACACAGCCTTCTCCAAGCTATGTGTCCCATAGGCAGCTGCGGGCCCAGGAGCACATGTCATGATGGTGCCAGGCTTGCTAGGCTGGCAATTCTTAGGTGGTCTGGCTGCCTGGACCAGCTAGGCTGGTGCTGGCCTCAGGCACTCTCCTGATGAGGCATTTGGTTCTCACTAGTGGCCTGTGCTTTTTCAACACAGGTTCGGTTTTTAGAGCAACAGAACAAGGTCCTGGAGACCAAATGGAACCTCCTCCAGCAGCAGACAACCACCACATCCCCCAGGAACCTGGACCCTTTCTTTGAGACTTACATCAATGCCTTGAGGAAGAATCTGGACAGTTTGACAAATGACAAAGGACGCTTGCAGTCAGAGCTGAAGCTCATGCAGGACAGCGTGGAGGACTTCAAGACCAAGTACGCGGAGAGGGGAGGGTTGGTCCGCATGTGGGCTCGTCTCCAGCAGCTTGGGACCTCAGGCTCTGAGAAACCCAGGGCCAGGGCAGAAAGCTCCTCTAAGCTAAGACTTCTGTTTTCAAGCGGAGGCCGAGTAACCACTAGTTGCTTTAATCAGCGACAGTTTTAGGCTCCTAGGTTTGCTGTCTACAGAGAGGTTAGGAAACAATGGGTCAATAGCAGCATTAACCAGGTCAGAGACTGGAATATAGATTGGCACATGGATTGGAAAGAGCCAACTGAATACTGACTAGGGAGGCTTTTTAGAACTTCAGTAGGGGCGATATTCTGACCTCATGGTTTGTGAGAATGGAGTGGAATAGAGAGTGTGGATAGAGCAGGTAGGACTCACAGTGGACACACAATATGCCGTAGCTCTACTTTTGCTCTCTGTAGGGCGGGGCTAAGAACAGGGACACACACAGCAAGAAAAAGGGAATAGAATTGAAAACAGGACACTTACTCTGCCACGTGGCCGGGAGACGGTCTCCCCAATGATCTGATCTGATCGCAGTGCTGAGCGAGACGTAATGACACTGCATTAGAGCTTGTCTCCTGAAAACAGTCTTCCCGGCGCTTGTGTTTCTGTCTCTGAATAAACTGGGGCCGAGGCTGTTAGCCTCACGGGTGGTATGTTGGATGAATAGCTACGAACCCTTGACTGCAGCTCACGACCTGGGCATTTCCAAAGTCTGAGAGTTTGAGAACAAGCAGTGGAGATGGGAGATGGGAAGTAGCTCACGGTGGTCTCCTGTCTTCCTGTCCCCGCCCCCAGGTATGAAGATGAGATCAACAAGCGCACAGCCGCAGAGAACGACTTCGTGGTCCTCAAGAAAGTAAGCCGGGCAGAGCTGCAGCTTCCATCCCTGGTGGCTGTGGCCCTTCGCTTAAGTCGTGTGTTTAGTCTGTCTGCCTGTCTTTGTCTTCTTTGGCTCTACCTGGAATTGTGGCATCAAAGGACGTGGGTAATGGGATGAGATACAAAAGGGAATGAGTCTGTGAGGAAAACCCACCTGAACTCTGAATTTCCATGTATTCTGGTGGCTTTGGTGGCAGAGCACATCCAACGATTCCCTTCTGCATAGTCTTTTAAACTGCTTCAAGGGAATCTGGGTGTGTTGATTGACATCCTTGCCCCCACTGTAAGTCCTGCTCTTGATTTCTTCTCCTTCCCTCTTCCTCCCCCTCTATTTCTGCAGGACGTGGACGCTGCCTACATGATCAAGGTGGAGTTAGAGGCCAAGGTGGACAGCCTTAAGGATGAGCTCAACTTCCTGAGGGTCCTCTACGAAGCGGTGAGGCCGCCATCCTCTGTACAGAGGAAGGCAACCCCTGTCTGTGAGGCTGTGGGCTGCAAGTCATGCTTCTTCATAGATTCCAACCACTTATTTCAAGGCAGAGGGTTCTTGCAAGGTCAGGGAGAGTGCAGTGAGAGTTTCTCAGGACCAGATGTCCTAGAAGGGAGGGTTAGAGCTGGAGTCTGCCCTGAATGCTTCCATCCCATTGCTTTCCACCTAGCACAGAGCAAACCTGCCTCATCATACACAGAACAGTTGTGTCTTTGGGAGTAGAGACGAGAACCACTGCTTTTTTGTCTAGTAATGCCATCAACCTTTCATCCTTCTCTCTTCCCTCTCCCTACACACTGGGAATATCAACTCGGCCTCCAGCAGGCCTGTTTCACAGTTGCTTTCGTGGAAGTGGGAAGCTGGGGTCAGAGGTCAGCGGAGACTGACTCTCCTGGGGTCTGATGTGAGACATGGGCCTTGTAGGAGCTGTCCCAGATGCAGACACACGTCTCAGACACCTCTGTGGTACTGTCCATGGACAACAACCGGAACCTGGACCTGGACAGTATCATCGCTGAGGTCCGCACTCAGTACGAGGAAATTGCTCGGAGGAGCAAGGCTGAGGTCGAGTCCTGGTACCAGATCAAGGTGTGTGTGTGGGCTGAGTGGGCCTCTGGGTGCCACCTGCCCTTGTTTGACCGGGGGTGGCTGCTGTTCCACCTGTGGTCGCCCTCGCTGGGTCTGCCGTACAGCCTTCGAGCCTTGCTCCCTTGGGTCTCAGGTCCAGCAGCTCCAGATTTCAGCTGACCAACATGGCGACAGCCTGAAGAGCACCAAGAATGAGATCTCAGAGCTTAACAGGATGGTCCAGAGGCTGCGGGCAGAGATTGAGAACATCAAGAAGCAGGTGGGTGTGGACCTCCAGGGGTACAAAGGGATAAAGCACTGGGCTGGAAGGGTCCAGGCTTGTCTGCAGAGCCTTTCTACCAGCCACACGGTAGCAGCCACACAGATCTCCTCAGCATGTCTTTCTTAAAGTGGCTTTCCTGGCTAGTCTTCCCTGGCTTTTGTATATCTTTATCTTGTTGATCTGGTGAGGTTATAGGTGAGCTCTGAAGTCTTGCAGGGACATGGATGTGTTCTGTTTGGAAGGAATGAGATCCCTTCCCACACCCATTCCCAGACAGGGTTTCTCTGTATAGCCTTGGCTGTACTGGAATTTTCTGTAGACCAGGCTGGCCTTGAACTCACAGAGATCCTCCTGCCTCTCCCTCTTGAGTGCTGGGATGGTGTGCGCCACCATTAGACTAGATGGGACTCTAGAGTCAGGAATGATGAGGAGAAGAACAGAAAGAATTCTAACGTCTTAATCCAGTGGGGAGCTGGTCCAGGAGGAGGAACAGGTGTGAAGTTCTCTACAGCAGGGCCCTGACGTTGCCCATTAATGCCCACAGTGCCAGACCCTGCAGGCATCTGTGGCTGATGCGGAGCAGCGTGGGGAGCTGGCCCTCAAAGATGCCTACAGCAAACGCACAGAGCTGGAGGCCGCCCTGCAGAAGGCCAAGGAGGACCTGGCCCGGCTGCTGCGCGACTACCAGGCGCTCATGAACGTCAAGCTGGCCCTGGACGTGGAGATCGCCACCTACCGCAAGCTGCTGGAGGGCGAGGAGTGCAGGTGAGGGGCTCGGGTTTGGGCTCGGAACCCTGCTGTACTTCTTGCTTCTGCACCGTGCTGGTATGTCCAGCCAGGAGCAGCAGACCGCACTTGGCTGTTCCTGTGTGGCCGCTGAGATAAGCACCTAATACTGCATGCTGAAGGAAGTGGGGTTCTGCTCTGTGACTCACGGCTGTCTCCCCAACAGGATGTCTGGAGAATGCCAGAGCGCCGTGAGCATCTGTAAGTCCCTTCCCCACCGCGCCATCCTCTCCTCCGGGTCTGGGTTGGGGACTACTCGCGCTGAGAATAACCACACATCTTGCCTATCCCTCCAGCGGTAGTTGGCGGCAGCGCCAGCATTGGCGGCAGCGCCGGCATCGGCCTTGGCCTGGGAGGCGGTTTTGGCTCTGGTTCCGGTTCTGGAAGCGGCTTTGGGTTTGGTGGTGGTGTCTATGGCGGTTCCGGTTCCAAGATCACCTCTACCACCACCATAACCAAGAGGTCCCAGCGATAGAAGAGACGCTGACGCTCAGCGCTGACGGCCCTGAGCCCAGCAGGGTCGGCCATTCCTGGTGCCTTCGTGTTTCCTTCACTTCATCTCCACTTCTCCTTCCTGTTTCTCATCTTGTTAGTCTCCCCACTCTGCCTTGGTCCCTCGGTTCCGGAACAATCTTCCAGGCCGAGGCATGGCCTCCGCCCGCCCTCTTGGAGCCTGGTAGTGTCTTCTCAGCTTGGGCCAGGTGACCCTTCTGCAATGGGAGGGGCATCTGATTTCACCCCAATGGACAGAGGAGGTGAAGACCAGCAGCTCCTTCTTCAGAACTGTCGCGTGCGGCCGGTCTAGTCATACCAGCCTCCAGCAGATCCTGGCCATCCAGCTGCCACAACTGTGCCCATTCTCCACTGACGGGCTCTGCCAGGCTAAGACAAAGACTGCTCGCGGTCCCGTTCAACCCTGCTCCTCTCTCTGCTCATCCCCAATAAAACTCTTTTGTCATTCATCCTGAGAACTTGGCTCTGTTTCCTGGGGAGAAGGTTCTAGAAGCCCACCTATTCAGAGGATTTAGGAAAAGGTTTGAGATCTGTCTGTACAGGTCAAGGTCACCCACCACGCCCTCAGCTTCCTGTTTCCAAGGTGCAGAGATGCAGGGTAGGGACCCAAAAGCTGCCCAGAGGTCAGGGGACATTCACGACAATCCAGCTGTATAATGGTGACTGCTATGGACGACCTCAGGCAGGGTGGCTCAGCCTGGGAGAAGAGGCTGGGTCTGGAGGCACACCGGGCATCAGGCGGCCCGGCGCCTTTACCGTACACAGAACACCAAGCCTACGCAATAGGTTGGCCTCAGTGTCTTGCCAGAACTCTTCAGTTCTTATTTGCTTGGGTCTGACCCAAGGCCCTGCGTGTGTCAGCTGTGTTCTTAGAGCCACACTCCAGCCAGAGGCCGTTCTATTTTATGCATTTCCATGCTTGGGGCCAGATCCCTCTGGACCCGAGAGGCTTTCAAGAACCTGTCTCGAGAACCAGCAGGGTTACAGGTGCTGGCCCCAGAGAGAGGGGTGTTCTTTCAGAGTTGGAAGGCTTCGCTCACTCCACCTCGTTGGGCTCACCGGTCCAGCCTGGGCTGCTGTCCTGAGAGGAGCAGGAAGGGCGGAGGACAGGCAGGCCTTGTGGAACAGGGAAGACAGAAGCTTCTTGGTTTGGGGTATCTCTGGAGACTCTGCTTGGTGCGGTGCTGCAGTGGGGAGAGGGAAGTCTGAGGAGAGGGCTTGATGCAGCCTTTGAGGACACCACCTCAGCCCTGGATCTGGAACACTGCGACCTTCCCCTTCCTAAAAGCAGATGGACTCCACAGCTCCCACCTGCAGCCCGACCCGATCTTCCCACTGTGGGTGCCAACTTTTCCCTTGAACTCTGGCCTGATGGCGCTGGTGGGGGGAGTGGAAAGGTTTTGCCCAAGTTGGAACTTCCCCGTGAGGCCCTCAAGCAGACATGAGGTCTCCCCCTGGGGCGAAGCAGAGAGCGTTTCCGGGGCTACAATCTTGGGAGAGGTTCCTGGCCCAGCGAGAGCTGTCTTTCTGGGCCAGCCCTGATCTCTCCATTGTCTGTCCTGGGCTTTTTGCCCTGTGTGTCATGTGTAAGCAGGAAGCATCTGTAGCCTGTAAGCCTGTCGAGAGGTGTCCATTGCTTCCTCCATTGTACCCCACCCCTGGGAAATGCCTGCTCAGTAGTTTTGAGTTTCTGGGGTGGGGAAGAGGAGTTGAGGGTTGAGACTGAGGGCGAAGCTCCTGACTCTCCTACTAGAAGACCGTAGGCTGCCCCAGCCCCCTCTCCTGCTTCTGCCCAAGAGGACTGGCCAGCCTACCAGGTGCCAGGGTTGGCCTGGCCTCTGCAGGGGCCGTTAACGATCTAGTACCAAGGCGGCAGCGGAGGAGATGCATGCAACTGTCTTGGAGTTGGTGTGGCCACATGTTTCTATGACTCCTTCCTGGAGTGGTGGCACACACTAATCGCTGTGCTGAGAGAGCCGAGGCAGAAGGATTGCTGTAAGTTCTAGGCCCTTCTGGGCTACCTGGAAAGAGCTAGTATCAAAAGCCAGCAGGCCAGCACACCCAGCACACACAAACAAGCAACAACAATGAAACCAGAAAAAGGAAAAAAAAGAAAGAAAAAAGGAAAGAGGAAGAGAAACATTCGTTTGATCTGTTTCTGAGCAGTCTGGTAGCCTAGCCAGGGAAAGGAGGTGCCATGGAACCCCTTTGGCATGTAATCTGAGCCTTTGGCACGTTAAGGTTTGGAGGGAATGCTGTCCATGAAGAGAAGGACAGGAGGACAGGAGTGTGGCCAAGAAGCCTTGGTAGGGGCTGGAAGCTCAGGACCCAGGCTCACTACTCCTTGATTCAAAGGAGAAGTCAGATAAAGGCAGGTACACTAAACAGAAAAAAAAAAAGATTTTTCAGGACAGGGTCTCTCTGTGTAGCCTTGGCTGTCTTGAAACCTGCCCTGTAGCCCAGGCTGGCCTGTAGCTCAGATATCTGCCTGTCTCTACCTCCCCACTGTTGGGATTGAAGGTGGATGCTTGACTGTCTCCCATCACGTTACCTGTCAATCACCCATCTAGCCATCAACTCACCCACCCATCCACTCATCATTTCAACAAAGTCCCAGATCATGAATCCTTCCAGCCCAGAAGCCCTGGCTGGATTCATCCTGAAGTCCATGACTGCATGTTGACTTTTAGTGGCTGTTTAACAAACGATGGAGCCAGGTGGTGGCACACACCTTTAATCTCAGCACTCTGAAGGCAGAGACAGGCAGAGCTCTGCCAGTTCAATGCCAGCCTGGTCTACAGAGAGATTTCCTGCACAGCCAGAGCTGTTACACAGAGAAACCCTGTCTCAAACAACAAACAAACAACAAAACCAAAGCAAAATAAAATGTTGATGGAATGAACCAGAAAACCACCATTGGCTGAATGCATAGCCTGTGCTAAGCAATAGGGACCCCAACACAAAAGGAATTAGACTAGTTTTTAGGAAGATTTAGGTATAGATGGACATGTTTATATCTCAATAACTTGATGACGGAATAGATAAATGAAAGCTACTGGGAGCTACAATCCAAAGCAATGGCTTCCCAGGGGAAGGGGAGTGACTTCTGGTCTTAGAAGAGGGCTTGGCAATGCAGAAAGCACCACACAGGAGATGGTGCTTAAGGACCCAAGTGTCAGACAGGGGTGAGAGCTCCCTCAGCGGAAGAGGGAAGGCTCTCGGAGAGGAAGCCTCTCCTTCAGGAAGTCTGTTGGGATGGGCTTCGCCGAACAGCAGTGCCTAGCTTCCCTTTGGCTTCCAGGAGGTTTTGAATACACTGCTTTCTCCGAGCAGAGCCCTGACAGGTGGCAGCATTTTTGCCATCTCCTGGAGTCCTTCTGCCTTGTCTGAATGCAGCACTCTCAGGCCCCAGGGAACAGGGCTTTCCTTGGCAAGGTCCGTGAATGTCCATTCTGTGTTGGCTTTGTGGGAGGCCACAGGGACAGACATCGGAAGGAGGATGCAGCCAAACCTGAGTTTGGAGCATGACTTCGGGAGTACTGGAGACTGACACTCCGAGGGTGGCCATGGAGCATGACTGTCCACCCACCGAGTGCTATCATGAGGCAGGAGCTGGCTAGTTTATCCTTGGAGCCCTGGAGGCTGGTTTACACTGACACCCATCTGCTTTCTGCTGCTGCTTTCTTTGCGGGAACTAGGAAGGTCTTGGAGAAAGTGTTTCTTCACAGGGCGCAGCTGACACCCTGAATGTTTGTCCCCCTAAAGGGGCACAAGGATGGACAGGAAACATCTAAACACCCAGGGCTGTGTCCCCCCCCCCCCACTAAAAGCCCCTTTGTGAGCACAGTGCATTGGCGCACTCTGTGACAAAGGGTTCCATGCCTGGGGAAGATTCTCTCTTGGGAGAACATGCTGGAAGTCCAGAGGAGTCCTGAGGCAAACAAACAAGCAAACAAACAAAAACACAAAACCCAAAATAACCTGCTAGCACTCTTCAGCCCAAATGCCTGGCTCACAGTCCCCTTCCTGGGTCCCTGCTTAGGATAGCCCACAGAGAGCAGCTGGCTGAGCACAGTTGGAATGCAATCAGGGCTCCAGGAGAATACAGCCATGAAGGTGCTACCATCCAGGCTTCTGCCCGGTACCAAGATGCACTGGTTGAATGCCGGTTGGTCACTGAAGTGCTGTGTGGAGGGTCATGTGCACATTGGAAAGGGCTTAGGGTCAAGGCCTTTAAAGCCTTCACCCTTTTCTTTCACCTGAGGTGTGGGACAACTTACTTCCTCTCTGGGTGTCCTGAGTCCAGGCTCCCACCTTCCCACTCTGTCGCTGAGATTTCACTGGCTCCATCTGGCAATGCCCCTCTGCCCGGCCACTCGGAGCACACAGAGAAGGTGCCAAAACAGTCAAGACAGGCCACTGATGTTTCCTCCTTAGGCTTAAGTAGAGAGTGTCTCAGGGATGGACACAGGCGTTTAAACAAAGAGACCCTGCGACCGAGGGCCAGAGAGTCGCCTTCCAGCGCTGCTCCCCCAGCCTCTGGAAAGGTGGGAGTTCACGGCTCACAGCTCGTTTTGGGGAATGTGACTTTTCTGCGGGAAGGGCAGGGGGCAGGTGAGAGGGCCCAGCGTCTGACGGAGCCTGGAGGGCTGACACTGCAGGAACATGCCTGTTTCCACGGCGGGGAAGGCACTCCCGGGACCTGCCGCACCCAGCCTTCCTTCTCGCCTTCGCCTTCAAGGTTGCCATTCTACGTTGCCTGTCCGAGGGCTCCTAGGCTGCTAGGCTGCAGCTGTGGAGGGCTCTTGGGC